AGTCATTACCATGTTCCACCTGCACTAGGCGTAGAAACCTCACCCCTGCGATCACTCTCTTCTGAAAATCAATACGCATTTTTTTCTTTAAAAAAAACCTCCTAGGTCGTTCCGATTTCAAGGATGTAACTTTACCACTTTATTATGCAGTATAGTACTTTACTTTATAATATAGTATAGAGATTGGTTGGTACGTGCCCTTAAGAGTGGCACTTAAGGTTGTGATTTCTTTGAACATTAGGAAGAAGGACAGCTCGTTCGTCCATGTAGTGCAACATAGGTGTGTAAAGTGGAATTGTACCTAAAGATTGCTGGTGTACCGGAAGGAGCTCTGTAACTTTTGGTTGTGAAAATTTTAAGTAAACATTTCGATAATCAGAAAATTATTTTAACAATAAATATATTAAAATACAAACTTACCTAAGAGAAGTGGCAACGAAATTGACCTGGTTTGATAAATAATATTAGGGGTCTAACTCTAAAGTATGAAATTGCCACTTTGTATTGAAAAATTGAAATTGTTTTTTTTAAATTTAACATTTATTTAATCAATATATCTAATTGCAGTTCCTACAGAGTTAAAACGGTTTCTCGTGCTGCTTGAGGTCTCGCGTTATCATGGATAATAATGGTGAAGATCGATTCATGAGTCGGGGCTGTTTCACTGCAAGTTTTACTATCATTGCTCGGAGTTCGGCACAGTAGACATCTGCCGTTATTGCTGCTTGACCAGACCGGAAAAATCTATAGTGAATAACGCTGCTGAGACCACCTAACAGTTACCATTACCTTGTAACACCGAATTGCTAATTAACAAATTCGTAATAAGTGCTTTACGTACCTACGTACGTACAGTAAAACGGCAATTTCATACTTTAACCGCTATTAAATAAGTTATTTATTTTCTTCAGTTAGTCATTGAAAATAATCGCTCATAGAAACAGTCTTATAACTGCTAAGTAAAACCGTGAACAAAAACAAACGTTATACAATTATTATGATGCCATTTGACATTTTATGATAACATCCTATTATCGCAGGATATAAAAGCACAAAGTTGTTTTAAAATCGCATAGTAGCGCCCCGATGCCCGGTGGTACATGTGAGTTATTAATCTTGAACATTATAAAACATCAACAATATCAAATATTTTCGGTTTTTTATCGAGATTATTTATTATTATTATTTATACATACGAGGGCGGCACTGAAAATTTCGGGAGTTAACGAAGTGACACAACATTACTATTTAAAAATGTATTTATTGATTTTCGAAGTATTCTCCGCGAAATTTGACACATTTTTCCATACGATGGAACCAATCATTGAAGCAACCATTCCATTCGGAAGTTGGGGTCTCCAAAATTGCCGTTTTGTAGGCGTCCACAGCTTCTTCAGGTGATGAAAATCTCTGACGACGCAATTTATTCTTTATTTTAGGGAAAGTATAGAAATCATTAGGGCTTAGGTCGGGGCTGTACGGCGAATGGTCTAATAATTCTATGTTTTCTTGCTCTAAAAACTCTTTTGTTCTGTGCGCAGTGTGAGAACTCGCATTGTCGTGATGGAGGATGATGCAGCGGTTGCAGTTCTCTTTACGGAGTTCAGAAACGACCTGTGGCAAACAAATGCTAGCATACCATTCTGCATTAACCGTTCTTTGTCCCTCAAGAGAAATAGTCGTAACATGGCCGGTTTTGGAGACAAACGTGGCCACCATTTTTTTTTGCAACACTCCGTGAACGAACAATTTTTGTTGGCTTTAACTCATTTTCGAACACCCAAACTCGTGACTGGTTTTTTGTTTCGGGTTCGTACGCGGATATCCAGGATTCGTCACCTGATACAATGTTGTATACAGCATTTGAGGATCCTGCGTGGAATCTTTCGAGAGTTCTGACGCACCAAGTAACGCGAGCCGCTTTTTGCTCTTCACAGAGCGAATGCGGTATCCATCGGGAAAACAACTTTTTTACACCTAATTGTTCATGCAAGATTANTTGGAGTGTCGTCAAAGTTGTGTAAACCTTTGTGTTCTCGAAATTTACGCCGCGCAACGGTTGCCGAATTGTCGTTTTTATAAAACTCGCGCACACAAAACGCACGGTCCGCTCCGGTAAAACGCTCCATCGCGACTAAATTCCCAGAAACCGAAGTTACTCCCCCCGCTTCCCCTGCACCGCTCACGCGCGCCCTGTTCGTTTTACTCAAATTTTACTTTTCAAAGGACTTATGGGCCACCCTGTATAATAATACTTTTCGGAACGCCGCCTTCAATGTTATTATTTAAGTGAAACTTTTTTAGACGAGAGTTTTTAGAGTAAATTGAATTCGCGACAAATTCGTTACGGCTACAGAGAAAAGATACAATTTAGGACGAGCGAGAGTGAGAAAATAGAGAGAACGTCTCGCTATCTACTCGACCGTGGAGAGAGGGAGAAAGCGAGCTAGGTCATTTCTCTTATACACATTCTGTTTACGGACGCCGACCACTAGATGGCTTGTTATTAATTATTCATTGCTCCTGTAGATGGCAGTAACATATTAACTATCTATTACTATCTACTATTATATTTTATTTTTAAGGAATTTTGAAGCATTTCAAACAAATATATATTTTTTTTTATATATATAATTTAAAATATGTATATCCCTATATATATATGGTTGTTCTTTTTTAAAGAGAGTAGACATAAAACCTATCGCATGGCTAGTTATAAAAAAAATAAACAAACATAAAAGCAAAATAACAAAAATAAAAAGACTATCGCCGACCGCACCGCACGCGTTGTACACGCACACGCCGCTTGTTTTTGCACCTAAATATTTTTATGGACTTTTATTAATTTCCTATTAAATTGCGAACTCTTACTGACGATCATGCTCGTCGTTGCGCGAGTTGTATACCAGTTTTGTGAACAAACAATTTAGAAGGGTGCCGTGTCAAGTCGTCAGGCCGGCCGCCGCCATTACGCGCCGTCCAGCAGTCACGTTTGGATTCTGCAGCCTGTAAGAAGCCAGCGACGGGTTGGCAGGTACGCCTACTTCTCATAACCTAGCCTCGGCCTGCCCCTCTTTTTGTTCATCTTTTAGCGGTACTCGCCCGCGCAAAAACTTCCTTCCAAAAACATAGAACCAGCGCACCGCCGTGGTGAAAATTTATAAAGAGTTATTCCCACTAGATGGTGAGGAGGTCGTTTCTCTTATACATGACATTCCTTATTACAAGAAAAATGTGATTTAAGGATGAAAAATGAAGAAAACCACAATACTACACACCCCAAAGAAGTTTCACTTGTTTCACGTGCACCAAGTTGCACGCGCACTATTTTTTTTTTAAATAAACATATGCATGTAGGTTTTTTATTCCGTCGGAGTACGCGTCCGAACCTGAAGGTTGTTTTTTTGATTCCCGTGTTCAGTTAACGTAAGCGGAAGTAATTGGGCAAGGACACTTATTTCCCTACTTAGGTACATTACGAAAGGATTATAAAAGGCAGACAGAAAATTAAATAAATCTTATGATGCTTTCTCCAGTATAAAAGGTCTCGCAACTACCAAAAGCTGTAAACAGTATGCAAAACCGAACTAATTAGGGCATTTGCCAACGAATTCTATCTAAAAGCTAAAACTCGGAGCAGTCTTTAAATCAATAATTATAAAATTCAGGCGTTTCCTTTTTTTTTCAGGTAAAGACTTCATACCGATGGGCGACCTAAATGCAAAAATCGGGATACCAAAAAACGAGGAACCTAATTACAAAACCATCAAGGACCACCTAATTACGAAATCAAGCACTCTTCAGATCACAGGCCAGTAAGAGCTACAACATCATATGACACACACTTCAAAAAAAGCAGAGTAAAGTTTAAAATTTGTCCACAAAACAAAATATCAAGCGAAGAAGAAATCACAAACTTCAAAGAAAAACTTAATTCCCACTTATCAAAAGACCAACTGTTTGCGTGTTTGCGGAGAGTACTATCTCAATCCAGAAGCACTACGGTAACTTAATCAGAATCATCACCTCAAGCTTACAAAACATCCAAATAACACAAAACCCAAAGAAGGCCCACAAAATAATTTCAGAGCATACATTAAAACTTCTTAAAAGAAGACAAGACCTACAAAAAAGTCCAAANCACAGAGCGAATGCGGTATCCATCGGGAAAACAACTTTTTTACACCTAATTGTTCATGCAAGATTATTTGTATTTGACTCATGCCAATGTCTAAAGTTGCCTGAATTTCGCGGTATGTCACATGTCGATCTTCCTCAATCAGCTTACGCACAGCATCAACGTTTTCTTGGGTGACTGCAGTTTTTGGACGACCTTGACGGGGATCATCACTGAGCTTGACACGTCCACGTTGAAACTCAGCAAACCAGCGGTAAATTGTGGTTTTGGATGGGGCTTCATCACCAAATGCAGAAATCATCCGGTCAATACACTGTTTTTGTGTTAAACCACTTCGAAAGTCATAATAAATCATCGCTCTTGAATTTTCTCGAGTCAATTCCATTTTCTCAACGACTAAACAAGTTTGACAAAACCTCGTGACAAGCCCGAGAATTTTTTTTTAAATAAATAAATGGTATTCGATTTTTAAAACCAAGGAGTTTTCAATTAAAAAAATTTTAATATGACAGGAACAGTGGAAATATTCCATTCCCGATACTTTTAGTGCAGCCTAGTATTACGTATATTGCGGTAATAGTGAAATAGAGAAGTTAATTTTTAAAGAAAAAACCATAGTCGAGCCAATTTAAATTTTCATTTTAAAATAATGACTATGTTGTTACGAGCTGGGGTTCGGGATAAATAAAATTCCACCAAAGTACAACTAAAAACTGTATTCAGCACTTAGAACACTTAAAACTGTACAAGCACCTTAAAATTCTCAATTCTCTTCTTCCGCTTCGCTTCAGGTGATCCGTTCGCTGTTTTGCTTCGAGCAGTTCCGATTACTAACTGACTGCGTGCCATCTCTGCAACGCTTTTATAGCGAATAATACCACATCCCTGAAATTATCGAGAATATTCCACACATTTCTATTATTGTGCTATGGCACTGGGCACAAAAAACGTGTTCCAAGTGCACATCTTCGTATCTCGACTCCAACACCTCCACGAGCTGCTCACAAGTTGCATCCTTACCTAAGGCGTCCAGGATGGTCAAAGCTTGTTCGCGGCATCCTAGAGTAAGCGCCGTCATGGCCTGTGACTTGCTCCAGCCGTTTGCCTTCATAACCACCTCAAACTGAATCCTGTAGGCTGACCACGAGGCTGTTCCATCAAACGGCGGAATTTTGAACCTTCGCATGGAAGGAACAGCAGTAACTGAAGCTGAAGTTACTGTTCCTGTTTTTATATCTTCCAGGGTCTTCCTCAAATGAGCCATCTGAACCTCAGTTTTTGGCGATCCGGATCTCTTACTGAGAAATACGGTCCTCGTGCTGTTTAACCTGCCCTTTTATCTCCGTCAGGTTTTTGCCAAATGTATCTCTTAACACTTTTATTAGGAGTATCTGCTCCTCTTGTCAACGAACCTGCTCCTCCTGGCACCGGGACTGTTCTTCCAGCCTGCAAATTAGCTCCTCCTCCTAGCGACGGAGGTGCTCCTTCTGGTGACGGGCCTGCTCTTTCTGGCGACGGGCCTGTTCCTCTTGTCGATGAGCTTGCCCCTCTTGGCGACCAGCCTGCTCTTGCAAAAGCATAATTATGGTTGCAAGGCCAGGAGCTACTAACGCCAAGGAAACACTAGATGTACCCGCGGTTGATTCCATTGCCGCTGTTTCCCCTTGCGGTACCTCGGTCGGCGTGGCAGAACCATTAATCCGCCTTCGGTCCATTTCTTGCTGCCGCTGACCTCTGGTGCGAATACATTCTGCCGTGTCCTTCGGTAAAACTGGCATTATTTGTCCCAGTTCTGACACCGAATTGTTACGCGCTGGGGTTCGGGATAAATAAAATTCTACCGAATTACAAGTTGACACTGAATTCAACACTTAAGCACTTTAAAATTCTCAATTCGCTTCTTTCGCTTCGCTTCAGGTGGTCCGTTCGCTGTTTCGCTTCGAGTAGTTCAGATTAATAACGCGCCATCTCTGCAACGCTATTATAGCCGATACCACATCCCTAGAATTATCGAGAATATTCCACTCAACTCTAGTATTGTGTTTACGCTATCTGACAATAGATGGCGTTGTACTTCTCTAGCATTCTAGGTGCTACTAGATCCTTCGATATTCGTTCGACTATTTGGCTATAGATGGCGTTACTCTTACCGGCGTAATAATATATTTCTATATGTAATTATTTCAGCTAACACTGTTTTTTTTTTGTTGCAGTCAAGATGGCGTTCAAGCATTTAGCAGTATTATTGACGTGCATGCTTGCCGCTGCAGCCAATGCCGTCCCTGGTGCAGATGAAAGCACAACGACCCCAAGCGTTGACAGCTCTATCAATGGACTTCCTGAATCCCTGACGACCGCAAGCGCTGTCAACTCTACCGTTGAAGTGTCTGAGCCCCTGCTTACTTCGACCAATCAAATGGTCCAAAACCTCTACGATGCCATTGTTTACGAAAACTACGACGAAGCGGTTTCCCAAGCCTTAAACTGTATGCGTTATGATCGACCCGATGTCATTAAATTAACTGTCGACAAGTTAATTCGGCAACAGAGAACATTTATTGCTGGTTTCGCATACAAACTGGGGGCTGCTGGGGGCGAAGATATTATAAGGTCCGAGTTTCCCCCGGCGTACAGAATGGTGCTAAACGATACTTTTATAAAATTCATCAACTACCAAGATCGTGTTTCCATAGAGTTAGGTATAACTCCAGACTTTGCCGATGACAAGAGGCTCTACGGCAACAACGATCATCCGCATAGCCAGAACTACCATTGGAAGCTCGAGCCCGTGATGGATGGTAAAAAGATTTATTTCAAGATACGTCATCGCGTAGAAGAAAGGTACTTGAAGCTGGCCAACAACGCGGACCGCGACGGCGACTATCAAGCGTATGCTTCCGCAAACTCAGACACGAACAGGCACCTGTGGTCGTTCCAGCCTGTGATGTACAACGGGGAGCTCTTGTTCTTCGTTATCAATCGTGCGCATTTCCAAGCGCTGAAGTTCGGCCGACGCGTATATGATGGTAGTCGCAACCTTTACAGTCAAGGTGGAAACTTTGCCGCCCACCCTGAACTTAACGGCTGGACCATCGAAGCTTTCGGAGACAGTTCCAAATTTGTAATTATCAGGGACTAGAAATCCACGTTCGATATTAACACAATATTTTTGTTGAAATTCTTGCCTTCGTTCGCAGCATACCGCAATGTCTGTTTTTATTTAAAACCACAGACTAGTACAGAATACTTTTCTTATTTTATTGCTCACTTAAAACAAAATTAAATAATTTCATATGTTTTTGTTTAGTTTTAATGATGTCTTTATTCCTTAAATTAAATCAAATTCTAACAAACAACTTGACTACCAACCTTACTTATGCATTTTGTTGCCTTATTGAGAGCAATTCATCAAGAACTATATCAAATTAGAATAACTGCAACATTACAGTTTGTTTCATAGAAAAGTTTGTATATATGTATTTACATAAGTATAATAGAGATGAGCCTATTCCTACTACTACTAATAATAATAATAGTACTAATGAACGTGACGTTTCACAATACTGGCCATTTGAAAAGTAATACATTTAGTCTGGCCATAAATACTATTACAAAGGAAAACAAAAAAAAATCTATGGCAAATAACATTGATTACTTTTACAGTGTGTTAGTTAGACTAAGTATAATTTAAAATAATAGGTTGCTAAAAAAGTCTTTTCGCATTATAGTATTTATGAACTTGTAATAAAATCTCTTTGGCTATACTATTTGTATCTGGCTGGATTTGGTATCATTAAAAGTTTAAATTTTAAAGAAGATAATTCCAAATTCAAATTAGGAAAATGTATGATTTTTATTTATTTTTCGTACTGTCAAGACGAGTTAATCTAATGAAGAAATTCGATATATTTTAAAATTTTACTACAATAAAGGTATAAATGCAACGCAAGCCGCGAAAAAAAACTGTGATGTTCATGGGCCTAGTGCAGTGTCTGTGAGTGTAGCACAAATGTGGTTTAACCGTATTCAATCCGGAAATTTTGATGTCAAAGATGCACGTCGCTCTAGCCACCATATTACGGATAAAATGGATGCCATTCTTGAAGAAGTGGAGCAAGATCAGCAAATCAGTAATTACGACGTAGCTAAAGAACTAGGAATTGACACAAAACAGTTTTGGCGCATTTGAAAAAAACTGGGTACATAAAAAAGCTCGATATTTGGATACCTCACGAGCTCACTAAAAGAAATCTAATGAACCGTGTAGTCATTTGTGATTATTTATTACGACGTAATGAAACCGAACCATTTTTGAAGAAGCTGATAACTGGTGATGAAAAGTGGATCACGTACGATAAGAACGTGCGAAAAAGGTCGTGGTCAAAGGTCGGCCAGGCTTCATAGACTGCGGCGAAACCCGGGTTAACTCTTAACAAGCTGATGCTGTGTGTGTGGTGGGATTGGAAGGGCATTATTCATTATGAGCTGTTACCACCAGGCAGGACCATCGATTCTGAACTCTACTGCGAACAACTGATGAGAAGAGAAGAAGTTGAGAGAAAGCGGCCGGAATCAATCAACAGAAGGGGTGTGGTTTTTCACCATGATAACGCTAGATCTCACACATCTTTAGTCACTCAGCAAAAATTAAAAGACCTTGGCTGGGAGGTGTTGATGCATCCGCCGCATATTTCTGATCTTGCACCTTCAGATTTTCACAGGTTTCGGTCTCTTCAGAATTCTTTAGGCAGTGTCAGGATAGCATCACGAGGGGACTGCCAAAACCAAGTGTCGCGGTATTTTGATCAAAAGCCCCAAAATTTCTATAGCAATAGGATCATGTACCTACCTACAAGATGGCAAAAAGTTATCGAACAAAATGGTACCTACATACTTTAGTTAAATGTAAATAAACTATTTTAAAAAATGTTGTGAATTTTCTTAAAAACTTTTTCCCCAACCTATTATGTATATACCTAGTCTTGCCATAAATACTGAGACAAAGGAAAAAAAATATATATTGCAAATAACATTTATTACTTTTACAGTGTGTTAGTTTAATACATAAATATAAAACAATTTAAAGTATAAAAAGCTTATTCTAAGTGGTCTCCATTGGCTGCAATACAGTCCTTTAAACGTTGAAGCCAGTTATCAATAGAAGCACGCACTCTTTCCATGGGAAAAATTTTCACTGCCAATCGTACGGATTGTTTTAGGGACTGCAAATTATAATGGCGTTTAGAGCAAGCCGTACTCTCTAAAACTGACCATAAATCATAATCCAGCGGATTAAGATCGGGACTAGACGACGGCCAGTCTTCAGCTCTGATGAAGTCCGAAACGTTCGTTTCCAACCAAGACTGCGTAGACCGAGCTTTATGACCTGGCGCCAACTCTTGCTGGAAGGACCATTCTTGATTATTGAACATGGTGTTGTTAAGGGGCTTCACTACCTTCCCAAAAATGGTATCTTGATACACTTGTGCCGATGTTTTGATACCTTTTTCACAAAAGTATGGCTCAGTCACCCCTTCATAGCTAATACCCCACCAAACCATCACTGAAGTCGGATAGTGCCCACGTTGCACTCTGTCGACTGATTGGGAAGCTTTCTTAGAGCTTGGAGCATAAATACGATCATTTTGTTTGTTAAAATGTTGCTCGATTGTAAAAAAATTCTAATCCGTAATTTTTCTATGACCTCCCTTTGCGTACCGCTTCAGTAGTTGTTTCGATTTTACCAAAAAAAAATCACTGGCATGCAGAATCTTCGAGAAACAACACATTAATAATATAAAAGGACCAGTTCACTTTGTCCAAGTGTCTTTCGTGTAACATCTCTCGAGCTGCGAGGTGATTATATTATTTGATTTACCATAGTCAGTTTCTTTGATCCTTGGTGTCGTGTGATAAACCAGGGTAAGTGCTTTTGTATTATTCTCCACACTGTGTCCACAAAACTTTAATTAAATAAAATTTAAAACATAATTTATGTCTTAACACGTAGGTCCTTGTAACTGGTACAAAATAGTACTACAGTTAGGGTGCGGAGCGTGACCTTCTGTTCACCTTCGGGATCCCACAGCACCTTTCTATATGGACGCTGCCAGAAGCGAGGAGCTCTAGCAAGTCGGTCCAAGAAAGGCTGCTTGACTTTGGTAGACGTAGAACACACCCGCATTCCGAGCCTCGCGTGTGATCCGGTGAAGCTTATTGTTACTTTCNTAATTTATGTCTTAACACGTAGGTCCTTGTAACTGGTACAAAATAGTACTACAGTTAGGGTGCGGAGCGTGACCTTCTGTTCACCTTCGGGATCCCACAGCACCTTTCTATATGGACGCTGCCAGAAGCGAGGAGCTCTAGCAAGTCGGTCCAAGAAAGGCTGCTTGACTTTGGTAGACGTAGAACACACCCGCATTCCCAGCCTCGCGTGTGATCCGGTGAAGCTTATTGTTACTTTCAACTAACTTGTATTAATTTTCTTGCTGTGTAACTTTCTCGAGTGTTCGGTGTATCTACCAACATTCCATCTTTATCAATTTAAATTTTGTATCGTAACCTCTCACTAGTTTTATATTTTAACCATTGTAAATTTAACTCATTGTTTTATATCTGTGTTCAATAAACACAATTTTGTTATTTATAATTTGTTTCTTTTATTGGTGTATGCCAGGTGCCACAACAACCATAACTTCTAATGCATCAGAACCAATCCACACGATGCATTGTTGTTTGGATGAAAATGATACATTGAAAAAATTCTGGGAATTAGAATCAGATATTCGAATGCCAAGAGAGAAGCTCTTGACCAATCAAAAAAAATATTGTGAAGAATATTTTGAAAAAACACCTACCAAGGATAACGATGGTAGATACATGTTCGTTTACCATTTAATACCGATAATCCAGAGGTGACGTCGTCTCAGGAAATAGCCGTAAACAGATTAAAATCATTAGTAACAAAATTAAGCAAGAATGAAATATTAAAAACAAAATATCAAGAAGTTATGAATGAATACTTATCTTTAAATCACATGGAAATAGTACCTAGTGAAGAAATAAAAAATAAAAAGGCAGTATATTTGCCACACCATGCTGTAATAAGAAATGATAAAGACACCACGAAGGTGAGAATAGTGTACGATGAATCCTGCAAAGGTAAAAACAACAAATCATTAAATGATCAACTATTAATCGGACCTACCTTGCAGCCGGAACTCAGACACATCATTATGCGTTGGAGATCTGCTCCAATATGTATGTTGGCAGACGTAATCAAAATGTACTATTTAGTAAATGAATAGTATCGAGAAGAACAAAAGGAATTTAGTAAAATATATATACCAATATGGACTGGTACTCAAACGAATGATCGCACAGTAGAACTGCACGGCTTCTGTGATGCTTCCAAATCAGCATATGCAGCAGTTGTATATATGCGCGTGGTCAATTCCGAAGGAATCGTGAATGTACTGTAACGCTAGAAAATTGAAATTATTATTTTTTTGAAATTAACGCCATCTAGCGTATACGTGGCGCAGTGTGGGGAAATAATATAATTATGAAACACTGCTTAGTGCTCTTACTCAACACAACATGGCGTGATTGTGCTATCTTGTCTGTGGTTCGAAGGTGAGATTGGCACAGCTCTATAGGCGGAACATTCGAGAACCGTAAGACTATTCGTATAAAAGGACAAGTCACTTTGTCCGAAGCTATTTTCAATCAACATCTCTCGAGCTGCAGTGCAAGTTTTATTACGTATTTACCAAAGTCAATTTAACAGTTTCTTGGTGCATTTTTATTCAACCAGGGTCCTAATAACTGGTACTTTACATGTACATCAGTTAGGGTGCGGAGTATGACCTTATTATCACCTTCGAGATCCCGCAGTACCTTTCTGCGTGGACGCTGCAGGAAGCGAGGTGCTCTGGCTAGGCGATCCAAGAAAGTACTTAATTACCGTAGAACAAGAAACACACCTGCATACACAACCTGGCTCGGATCCAGCAACCCCAGTTGCGGGGAAGCAATCCAGTGAACGTTCATCGTCCATTTGTGAACCAAACTGGTGAAACCATCTTTGTTTATAGTATTGTTATTTTAAGCTTACTTTCATTGAATACTTTCACGTGTGTTGGGTATACCTACCGACACACATTTAACAAGGATACCTTACCACTAACTTAATCTGTGTGAACAATTATAACCATTGAAGCTGTAATAATGTGTAGTGAATAAACTCAAGTGTAATATATTGTAATTGTTTCATTTATTGGC